CCCCCGCCGGCGCCTCAGGAAAGGTGGTGGATGAGGGACTCGCCTGCGGCTCCCCCGGCCTGAAGCAGCTCCATCCGCTCCTGCAGCTGCCGGACGTGCGCCTCCAGGTCTCGGTTACGGGCCTGGGCCTCGCGGAGTTGGCTGCAGGGGAGGTAAGGACCATGAGCCCTTCAGGATTTCGGCTAGAGAGGCTGCTAAAGGTAGTAACTGTCCACGACTCCCGACCCCGACCTGGCGAAGTTCTGGTTGGCCGTTCGGATGGCCTCCAGCTCCTGGCTCAGGCTCTGTCGGGTGAGCACCTCCTCCTCCAGGGCCTCCTGGAGTTTCCGCAGCGTCACCTCGGCCTCTGCCACCGCCTCCGGAATGGCCTCCGGAACTGCCGCTTCAGCCTGGGTATGGGAACCGGGCTTAGGGCTGCCTGTGGCTTCTGGAGCTTTCGAGACTTAGGCATAGGTTCCAGGCCTGGGATCCTCCTTTGACCTCTATTCCTGCACCCCTGAGACCTTTCTGGAATCCCCACAGCTCCTGCAGTGATCTAAGCCCCCTCCTTCCCTAACCCAGCCCAGCCCTCATCTCCAGCCTTTAATCTGGTCTCCTCCCATCCACCTTCCACACCAAAGGGCTGTTCCTATAACACTACACAGCTTGACCATGTCCCTCCCCTGGAGAATCTCTCCAGCCCCTCAGTACCCTCAGGAGGAGGCCCACCACACGAAAACTAAAGGCCCTGTCTGGTGTGCGTCTGCTGGCCTCTCCAGCCTCCCCTCTCCTCACTCCTCACCCTCCTTCCTCCTGGAACAGCGCAGGCTTACTACCCTCCTTTCATGTTTCAGAGCAAACCAGCTGGTTCTCACCTCAGAGCCCTTACCCTTCTCTTTGCTGACCAATGGGTGGTCCTCCTGCTTCTCCAGGGCTTCCCCTCCCCAGAGAGTTCCCCTCCATGCACACTCACTGACCTGTTTTAATTTCTCTGTGGGGATCATTTCTGACTGAAGTAACCTTGTCTCTACTTTGTTTTCCATCTTTTTCTGTCAAGGAACCTCCCAGAGGGCCTAGCACTCCATGGCGCACACTATCCCTGAAGGCCTCCACTTTTCTCTCGATTCGTCCCTCACTGACCCTCTCCTCTAAAGACTCCTAAAGACTCACCGTTTCCTCTGGTGGGGGCACCGTGGGTTCCAGGCTGGGCTCTTGCAATGGCTCAGGCAACGCCTCGGCCTCCAGTTCCATGGGTGTGGAGCGCGGGATCTCATCATCCCTGGGGAGAGGAAGAGGGCGAGGGGAGGAAGAGCTGGCCTCACGCCAGAGGCTGCCAATCCCCTGTGTTTACAGCCAGGACTCCCTAGCCTGTGCTCTGGGGCAGCCAGACCTGAAGGCTCCAGGCTTGAGGAGGGGGAGGGGCAGAGTGAAGGGAACAAATTGCCAGGCTGGTGAGACAGGTCCTCCTCTTGTTAGGACAAGGCCTGCCCCTGGCATGGCCTCAGGCCCCTGGAAGCTGGCCTCTCTGCACCTTCCTCGGGAACCTGGGGTCAGGAAACCCATGTTCTAGGATCTGCCCATCTCCGTCTCCATGTGCGCTTTATAGGCCCCTCTCCTAAGGGCCTCAGGAAGTGAGGGAGACACTCCCAGCTCTGGCCACCTCCAAAGAGGTGGTCTTCAGACTGGGTGTTTGACCCCAAGCCTGACTCTAGACAGCAGCCACCCCTCCCAACCCCAGACCCAGGTGCTGGGAGGAAGACAGATCCTCCCAAGGAATATGAAATTGCAGTAAAAGTGATGTCCCCTCCAACCCAGCAGTCCCTCTTGTAGAAATATGTCTCAAGGACCCAACGATGCTCGACAAGCGCCAAGACCAACCTGCAGCTCTTCATCCAGCCTGGGTCATGACAGAGTGGTGGGTTAGCTGAGTCCTGACCCGCCCAGTAAGGAGAACACTCCCCAGTAGGTCAGGATTGTGTTATAGTTTGTTCAAGAAATGGCACTTGCGGTACATTGTCCAATAACAAAACAGATCAGAATACAGCATGTTCTCACAGCTGTGAGCCAGGGACCGTTGCTGCTGGCAGCCTTCCTTTTTCTCATCTCTATTTTCTAATATACTTGTGATAAGCAATGTATTATCTTCAGAATCAATGTTTTAAGAAGGCTTTGTGGTTACGTAATTCAGTGCGTCCATGTTCTTTTAAGATTGACTTAACAATTCTAAACTTCTTATTCTCTAAGATTTTGAGGTCCCATGACTGTATACTAGAAATCTAAAAGTGGAAGGTCAGAAGATTCCGGAAGGCTGAGCCTGTGACTCTGAGGTTTTACGTTTGAATCTAAATTTCAAAGTACTTATGGTCTGAGAATTTAACTTCCTACAATTCTGGGCTCCTAAAAGCCCTTAGTCCCAAGACTATAAGGTTCCGAGACTGACCCTGCAATTCTCCTGGGCACCAACGGGCCAGGATGTGATAACCCCAAGCAGCCTCCCGGGGCCTCTGGAGGCAGGACACCCCCACCCCCACCCCACCCCTGTCCACTCCTCTCAAGCTGCACAGGGGCAGCACTTACCCAAGGGCCATGCAGGAATAGGAGGAGTAGCCCACGAAAGGCAGGTGGACCCCCAGTGGCGTGCCTTCCTGCATATCCGACAGCGTCTCCTATAGGGGAGAAACACAGATGTGAGGTGACCAGCGGCTGCCAGGGATGGCCCCTCACTCACCCCTTCCCAATCTTGGCTTAAGTGCCCTCCCAGCCCCCCACCCCAGCCTGGGGTCTATCTAAAGTGGACCCTACGTCATTTTCTTTCATTACATCCTGCTGCTTCCCTCAGGGCACTTGCCACAGTATAATTATACACTTCTCCAGACTCTTAAGTAGATGAGGGCAGGTACCAGGGCTGACTTGGTCCATGTGTGTCCCCTGCTGTGCCCAGCACAAAGGCAGTCAAGCTGAACAAGCACAGGATAGCTCATACGACAGCTGAGAGAGAGATGGCCTAAGCAAGGGAGATTCCTCTATGGTGCTTTCTCACCTCTCATCCTTCCAGGTCTCAGCTCAGATAGCCCCCTCCTCCAGGAAGCCCTCCAGGACCTTTCATGCTGGGTCAGGAGGCCCGCCCCCCTGCACCCCCTGCCCCCATCTCAGCCCTGATCTCTCTGGGGCATCATTGTCTGGGGACAAGTCTGTGTCCTCCACTGGACTGTGAGTCTAGGTCACTGCTGGGTTCCCAGCCCTGGGGCCACACAGAGCAGGTGTTTCTGGGGAAGGAATGATTTCAGGACCCCAGGAGGAGGGTACTCTCCTAACCTCAGTGTTACGGCAGTCGGATGCGGGGGTACCCTCTGCAAACCAGGGATCGATCGCAGGTACCTACCCCGCCCCCGCTCACCATGGCAGTGAGCCCGTCTTCCACCACATCGAAGTTGCACGTATCCGTGGCACCCTCGAAATCCGGCGTAAAGGGGGGCGCGCTGTCTCGGAGGCTGTCCCAGTCAAGGCCAAAGAAGAAAGGATGCTTCTGGAAATCGCCTGCTCCATTCCGGCCCAGACGCATCTCGGGGGGACACAGCAGCTGCTGGATGAGATCGCGAGCCTCGTCGGGGACTCCTGCGTCTGCTAGCGGTAGAGACAGGTGCTCCTGCTCGGAAGGAGGGGGAAAGGGGGGATGTTACCTGGGAGCATGTGCAGAGAGGTCAGGGGCTTCCCGGGCTGTGCTCACCTTGTAGTGCACGATCTTGCCGTAGGTCTCAGCTGTGGAGTCGGCGTAGAAGGGCGTCTGCCCGTAGAACATTTCATAGGCGAGCACGCCCAGCGCCCACCAGTCACACTCGGGCCCGTAGCTGCCAGTCCCGGGCCCACCGCCCACGGCCTGCAGGATCTCGGGAGACAAGTAGTCCGGGGTGCCCACAGCCACCAGTGACCGCACCTGAGCCAAGAGGATCCGAGCTAGGCTTGACCCCGCCCCTCCTAGCTCTGGCTCCGCCCCCTCTTAACCACTACCCTAGAGCTTAGTCCCTCCTTTTGCCTGTTCTCTAAGCCTGAGCCACAGGCAGGCTAGGGCCTGGGTCGCCTCCTTCTTTCCCCTCCAAATCTAGTCCTGCCCTCACCCTGGCTCTGCCCGCACGCCTCAGCCCCGCCCCCACGCTGCACCTCCGTTTCCTGCTCCAGACCCGTCATTGGTAGTCCGAGTTGCCCAAGAGCGGCGCACCGCTCACCGTTCCATCCGCCCGCAACTTGAGGCAGGAGCCGAAGTCGGCCAAGCGGATGTGGCCGCAGCGGTCCAGCAGGATGTTGTCTGGTTTGATGTCCCTGTGCGGAGGGAAGAAGGGAAGGGAGAGGGATAAGTGAGCCTCTCTCCTGCCATCTCACCAGGCTCCACCCCACTAGGCAGCACCGCCTGGGCCCCACCCTCTTAAGGACCACGCTCTCCAATTCCCGCGGCCTAAAGCCCCTGCAGCGCCCACCTGTGCACGTAGCCCAGCCGGTGCACCGAGTCTATGGCCATGACAATCTCGGCCAGGTAGAAGCACGCCATCTCGGCCGGGATCCGCTCCCCAAACTTGCTCAGCAGAGTTAGCAGGTCCCCGCCCACGTAGTACTCCATGACCAGGTACTGGGAGAGGGCGTGTCACGGGGGTCGGTACCTCGCCTGGGCACCCACGGCCGATAGCCCGGGACAAAGACTCCCAGAGACGCCCCATCCCTGGGCAGAGACTCCGCAGCCCCAGCCCCAGCCCCAGCCCCAAGAGATCTCCCAGGCCAAATCAGAGACATGCCCACCCCCAATCCTCGTTCCCCCACGATGTCACTGGACAGAGATTCACTTCCCCCACCCCCGACCAAGAGAGTCAGGAAAAAGAGAACCCAGAGACCTCCCGATTATCCAGGGTATGGAGCCCAGATACCCCCTGCCCAGTGGCTCCCACATAGACTCTAGAGACTATCTCATTCCAGGTAGTGTCCCCCGGAATCAACCTGTGGAAAAAGGCGGTAAGGGACATCTCCCATCCTGGGAAAGGAAGGCCAGCTCCTACCACACCCAGGGACTGCCGCATGCATTTCGAGGTAGCTCCCCGATCCTAGAACTTCCTCTGCCTGCCCACACCTCGATAACTGACAGCCTCAGGGGTGGGGGTCCGCCCCTCTAGTCGCCCGGCCTGGGGCTCACCAGGTAGTTCTCGTCCTGGAAGGCGAAGTGCAGCTGCGTGATCCAGCGCTGGTCCCCGTTCACCAACACATCCCTCTCTTCGCGGAAGCACGACACCTGCGGGGCACCCGGAGGAGCTGAAGCGGACGGGGGTGAGAGGACGGAAGGGGGGATCCTCAGCACCCTGCACACCCAGCCCAGCCGTCACCTCGCCTCTCTTCAGCATGTCCCACTTATTCATGATCTTCATGGCGTACACCTGGCCCGTCTGCTTCATCTTCACCACCGCCACCTGAAAACCCAAACAGGGTAATAGAGCGGAGGTGGCGGGGAAACACCAGGGCTCCCCCAGATTGGATTCCACCCTTAACCCGGGCCAGACTTGGCCCCGCCCCCACTCGTCAAAGCCACGCCCATTGGCCTCAAGCCCCGCCTTAGGTTCTAAACTCAGTCATTCATCAATTTCTAAGGCCCCACTTCCGGAACTCCCACTTCCGGAACTTTTCCTGCCCACTGCAGGAAAAGTCAGGTCTCTAACCCCACTGAGCTGCCTCCGCTGCTCCAGGCTCACCTCGCTGAACGCCCCGCGTCCGATCACCTTCAGAATCTCGAAGTCATCCCTCTGCAGTCGGGCCTCCTTAAGCCTCTCCGCGATGGGATCCACTGAGGGGGAGGGCGCGAAGGGGCGGGGATGAGAACCGAGAATCAGAGGGACTGACACTGGAGACGAGGAGAGACAGTTCCACCCTCTGTCGCTGAGTCTCCCCTGCCCCTGCCCCTCCCCTTAGCACTAGTCGGCCTCCTTAAAGACTTCACATAAACATTATGTGAGGCTTTGGGGACCCAGAACTGCTCTTGTACAGAGAAAAGTGGGATGCCTGGGAACCCCTTTCTGGGACAGGACACTGGGCCAGAGGGCTCTAGGGGGCGCAGGATGGACAGGGTGAGGTAACAAGTCTGCCGAAGGGAGGCCCTGAAGAACAGAGGAAGAAGAAATAGGCCCAGTTCTTAGAGCTCTCTGGGCTTCCGGGCCCCTACTCCCGGTGACCCCGCCCACCCCCAGGGCTCTCATTCAGTCTGCTTTGGGTTATGGCCCAGAGCCTGCAGTTTAATCCTAGGCTCAGATACTGGTGGCTCTTGGACCACACTCTGGGAAACCCTGAGTTTAGGGCTGGGACCAGGAGAAGGAACGGGAGAGGGAGACAAAGCCAGCGTGGATCCGCATCCCGGCTCCAGGGCTGCAGGCACAGTCGAGTGTGTTATCTCTACGCTCTCAACTCCAGTTGAGTAACTTTACTATTACCCCTTATCTACAGATGAAGAACCAAGGCTCAGACAGGTGAAGTCCTCTGCCCAAGGTCCTACAGCTAGCAACGTTACAGAGAGCAGTTTGGCAGGGGAAAGGCAGAGAGTGGAGGCAGGGGGAGAGGGAAGCCTGGACTCCCGGAGGTGGAAAAAGCTGGGAGCTTCTGAGGCAGGAGGGGGAGAGCAATGGGTGCAACTAGGAATGAGGGAAGAGACAGTGGGTTATGGAGAGGGTTCGGGGTTCAGGAAGAGTGGGCCAGCAGGGAAGCAGCAGCCAGGGCCCAGGATGGGGGAGGGAGGAGAGAGCCAAGACACTGAGCCCTTTTAAGGCAGTGGGAACCCAGGCCCCCTCCCCCGCCCCAGTGGCCTGGCAGGGGAGGGGCCGCAGGATGCTGCTCAGGCCACAAAAGGAGTGCTCCTTACAGGAGAGCTGCCCCCACCTCAGGTCTCAGTTCATCCTCTGCAAAAGAGGAGCTGAGTTACTAAGGGCTGGGGGGATGTGGGGAGAAGGTTCTCCCAGAGGCCAAGTGGTCTAGCCCTTGACCTCCACCTTCGCATCTGCAAAATGGGGAGAGAGAAGCAGGGCCTGGGTCAGAAGGAGATGGACACAAGAAAAGAGGGAGCGGGATAAGGCAGAGAGACAGGAAACAGGGACGGGGACAGGGACACACAGAGCCTAAGGACCAAGAGCAAGCCACTGAGGGACAGACCAGTGGAGGGACAGAATGGCAGATGTTAGAGAGACAGAAACCCAAGTGAGCCTGAGCCTGGGCCAGGAGGGAGTGGGGCAGACAAGGCAGGAGGCTGAGGCTGAAGATGAAGCATCTTCCCTCTGGACCTGTCTCCAGGGGAAGACTTGGCCAAAAGGGACTTTGGGTGGAGGAGGAACCTACAGAGAAAGTGGGCCCACTCAGAAGAATCCTAATTCTTCCTCCTCCAACCAGGGGGTGGAGGGGGTGCTTGGTGGGGCCTGTGTGCAGAGCTGGTTCTCCTCGGGCCTGCCTGAGTCACCGCGCCCTCCCAGTGCCCGGGCACCTGTTGGAGCAGCTGGAGAGGCTGGCGCCGAACACCTGCCCGTCGGCCGCGCCCCTGGCAGCTGCACTGTGCTGTCCCTTCCGCTTGCCCCTGCGCTCTGGGGAACCAGGGTGGAGGGCCACAGGGCCCATTTTGGTGGGGAGGGGTCCTAGAAGACAGGGCTCCCCAGCATGTCCCTAGGCCTAGACTCGGGAATGGGGTGCAAGGGGACCATGAGAGGCTGTGCCCAACCCAGCTTACCATGGCTCCCAAGTCATGATTCTGAGTCATGGCTGCCCTGGCCTCTGCTCATCTCACTCTGCCCTGCCAGGGTGGCACAGGGGTAGGAATATGTTGCCCCAAGACCCAGCCCCAAGTTCTGGGCCCCTGAATGGGAGGTTTTCCTCGTGTCCGTCCTGCCCCCAACACCCAGCCCACACCCACCTCCCCCCTCTGCCCTGCCCCCAGCCCCAAATCTGTGGGGTGCCATGCAGGTAGGTAGGCACTCACCCCACTCCAAGAAGTTGGCCACATACTTGTCCTGGGCCAGGTCGGACGCGCCCAGCTCCTGGTGGACGCCCAGGAGAAGGTCGAGCAGGGGCTCCAGCCCCAGGAAGCTGGGGTCCAGCACCAGCTGCTGAAGCCGCCTCAGCCGCACTTCGGCTGACATGTCGGGCAGGCAGCACCATGGCCCCCTCCCCGGGCCAGGGGCTCGGGGTCCTCCCGTCACGAGGCCTGGAGGGCCCTGTCCAGGCCCTGGGGCCCTGGCTGCATGTCTGCCTGTCCCTGGCTGTCCCCTGGGCCTCTCTGGCCACTTCTCTCTGCTGGCTGCTAAGGCCTCCTCCCCTTCTCCCCACCCCTCGGTCCGGCCCCCTCCAGCCTCCCAGCCTTAACCCCTCACAAGCCAGGCCCCCCCAAGTTGCTCCTTCCAGGGCGCCTCGGAACGCTTCAGTGTGAGACGAGGGGTGGTGGAGAATCTCTACCCTCAAACTACACCCCCACTGAAAAGGCAAAGCACAGAGGAATGCTACAGGTATGACAGATGCCAAAGATGAGCCCTCCCATTCCCCAGAGGGGACCAATTGAGGTTCAGAGTGATTTGGTAACACCCCTCCCAAGCTCTCGAGTTGGGAGAGGGTGGGGGGAAGGGGTGAGGCCTGGGAAGGGGGGTGGGAGGCCAGGGCAACTTTGCGGGTGACTCAGCCAAGGATTCAGACTTTGGGATGGTTTAAATTTAGCCCTCAGGCCCTCTGCTTTACACTGACTTTTTTTTGGCAGGAGATGGGGAAGGGGTGGTGAGAGAATGGGGACGGGAGGCCCTCAGGAGCCAGGATCAGGGGTGACCCACTGGCCAAAGCCTGGGGGAGGCAAAGGAGCCCCCAAAATAGCTCCTTGGACCCTGGCAGTGCAGCCACATTCCTGCCCAGGCTAGGATTAGAAACAGAAACATTTCGGGGGGTGGAGGGTAGAGCGGGAAGACACCACTCCCTGTGGCTCCAGAGAGCCAGCCAGGAGGGATTTTCGCTGTTCTTTCCAGGGTGGACAGTTCTCCCAGAGGAAACCATGGTCTCTAATTGGCCCTGGATGCCTGGGCCCGGCCAAGCCAGGCCTGAGGCAGCAGCAGGCCAGGGCCTATGCTGTGGCAGCTCACTCTGGGCATCTCAGGAGCTGCCTGGGGGGGCCCCTATAATATCTGGACAGTTTGAAACAACTTTTAAAACTCCCGCTGAAGACTCTGAAGAGGGGGTCCTGGTGGCTCTCTTCCCTCCGAGAGCTTGGAGTGGGGCGAGGGATACTCTCCTCTGTCTGAAGGGCCCTGCCCGGGGCTGGCCAGCGGCAGATCCACCAGCTGTGTGCCTCGCGCACATCCCTCCTCTGGTTTTCAGTTCTTCCTGCCCTCAAAAGGGGGTCAGGGGGGAGGCAGGACCTAGCTCTTCCTCTGGATAAAGTGGACTGATTCTAGGGCTGCATCGAAAGCACCCACACACTTCCTCCATACCTCCGCGGAAGGGAACAGAGACGCTGTGAAAACAGGGAACTTTAGTATAAATAAGAGGTCCTGGGGGACAGCGAGGACCCCAGGGGCTTCCATAATTTAACATTCTTCAAAAGCACAAGTAACAGCAAGGGCAGGGCAGGGGCCAGGGGAGGGGTGGGCCACCCCCTGCCCTGCACACAGGACCGAGAGGCGCACTGCAGAGCTGGGGCTCTTGTGGGTGGGGAGTTTCTCCCCCAGGAGTGACCAGTCACATGCTGGGGACAGGGATGAGGCTTAACACTGATGTTTCAGAGGAAGGGGTCATTGTACTTGGCAGTGGGTGGGGACAAGGCTGAGGCCACACGGGCCACTACATCCCCCCAGTGTCTGGGCCAGTCTGAGGGACCCTCTGCCCCAAATTTGTGCAGGGAGAGGGACCGGAGCAGTCCATTTGTCATGGTTAGTCTTGTTAATATGTTGATCCATGAGGTCAGCGGGGACGGTTATGCTAGGAGCTGGGGGCATGGGGTGGGGGACCCCGACATCCATGGCTTCACACCACTGTGCCACTCGGGGAGTTGCCTGGTTGGGAGGAGATGCCCTGGGGAAGATGAGAGCGGAGACAGGAGGGGGTTAGAGACAGCCTGGGGCTCTCACCAGTCCCACGGGGCGGGGGTGGGGCGGGGGGAAGCCAGCCTGGAGTCCCCCAGGCTGCTGCCACCCTGGCCTTGCCCTTCAATCCACCCCAGACCACCCAGACAGGCCGCTGCTCTAGGCTCAGGAACTTACATCTCGGCTAGCTTCCCTGTCCCAGCAGGTGGCACTTTTATACAATTAAAGTCCTCAGGTGATCCTGAGCAAAGAGGATGGGGTAGGGGTGGAGGTAGGGAGGAGAGGGGGAAACTGGGGTCCCCTTCTGACTGCGGAGGGGGTCCTAAGATTCTGGGAGGGAAGAACTTAGGGACAGTCCTACCTCTACCACTGACTTGCTGGGTGACCTGGGCCAACTTCCTTCCCCTGTCTGGGTCTCGGTCTCCTCGTCTGTGAACTAGGGAGATAGAGGGATCTCTTTCAGGACTTACCAGATTCCCCAAATCCCAATGCCCCTGCCTCTGAGACTGTACTTTAAGTTCTAGGGATTCAGGACCCTACAATTCCAAAACTGCTCTTCCAGGGAACCAGGCACAGCCCTCAGATCTGGCATCCTGGGCCCCAGAGCCCAAACCCTTAGGAGACATCTGAGAACACAGGTCCCAAGTTATAAGGCACCAGGCCCACACTTCACCTTACTAGCACCTTTCTGAACCCCATGGCCTACCCATCTTCAAGCTTCCCTGTCCTAAGAAGTGAGAAAGGTCATAAAGAGGCAGTGACTTGCTCGAGGTCACACAGGGAGCAGAAGTGCTGGACTGGACCCTGAGCCTGGGATTCCACAGCCCATGCCTCCAGCAGTGGGCTCAGATCCCAAGTGTCTGACACTCAGGCTGGAAGCTGGGTGCACAAGCTCAACCTTGCCCACAGACCTCGAACTGCAGCATTAATAAAATTTCACCATTCCGTAAGACCTAGCCATGCTGGGCCCACCGGCTGCCCTTCTGATAACTGCCATGTTCTCCACCACTCCCAGATGTCTCTTATGCCCGACCCTCTCTCTGCTTACCGTTGCTTGCCAAGCGTTCTAGAAGTCACTCTAAGATCTGAGAAGGCTTGTTCTGGGACACAGATTTCCATGGCTTCCCCTCATCCCACACGGCTAGAGGCTGTGATGCTACCAAACCTCTCTGCCAATGCCCACCTCTGCCTGGGTCCCAGGTGGGCTGGTATGGGGTGACTCACCACCTTGCCCGGCCGGGCCCAGGTGCAGATGAGGCCCTCCTGGCAGGCGGTGATGATGCAGTCCTCCAGGAAGAGAAGGACCGTGAGCCGCTCCTGGGCGATCTTCTTGCACACGAGCGGCTCAAGCAGCGGCACCTCGTGGATGCGCGGGCACAGCGCGGTGCCCAGCACCTTGGCGGGGTCCAGCCGGCTTCGGGGAGTGGGGCCGCTGGGCTTGTCCCCGCCACCCCCGCCCCCACTGCCGCCCCGGCTAATGTTGCCCAGGCTGTGGTAGCGCTTGTGCTCTTTCTCGGCCCCCCGGTCCCGCCGCTCCTGCAGCGTGAGCGTGGCAAAGCGGCCGATGCTGAACGGCGTCCCTGGCTCCGCCGCCGCACCCGGGCCGCCCGCCTTGCCGCTGCCCGCTGGGTGTGGGAGGCTGTTGGACCGGGACAGGGAGCGGGGCAGGGGCCCGGGGCCTGGCTCACCACCTCGCGAGCTGCCGGTGGCAGGCGGCGTGGTGCCAGGCGTGCCAGGGAGGGTGCGGGTGCGGGCCAGGGGAGGGTGAGGGTAGAGCACGTCTTCGGTGAGGTCCCACAGGCAGAACTGCGTGTCCTGGCCAGCCGAGCCGAAGCGGTAGGTGATGGAGCCGGCCTTGGGCAGCGGGGAGAGGGGGGCGCCCCCGCCCGAGCCCGTGCCCGCGGCCTCTGGCTCCTCCTCCTCCCCGCCACTCCGCTCCCCGTCGCCACCGGCAGCCGCCGCCTCCTCGGCCCTCGTGGTGTAGGGGTCGAAGGCCACGGCGTTGACCCAGGACTTGTGGCCGTGGCCTCGGGCCACCACGCGGCCCTCGGTGAAGGACCACACGGTGACCAGGTCATCTTCACCACCCGTCACGACGTAGCGCCCGTCGGGGCTCCAGCACACACAGAGCAGGCCCCCAAAGTAGCTCTTCATGAGCCCCCGCAGCAGCATGGAGTCGAAGTGGAAGACGCGCAGGCAGCCGTCCTGGCTGACGCAGGCCAGGTGCCGGCCATCGGGCGAGAAGGCGAACTCGTTGAGGGGCCCCTCGCCCACCGCCCACTTGGCCAGCGGGTTGCGGGGCGCCTTGCTCTTGGCGGCGTAGACGGCGAAGCCCTCGCCCTGCTTCAGCAGGCTGTACTGCGGTGGGGCCGAGGCGCACGGGTGGCTGACGTTGTACAGGTACAGGTGGCCGCTGGCGTGTGATGCCAGGAACAGGCTCTCTGACTCAGGCAGCCACTTCAGATATGTCACCTTGGTCTTGTCGATAAGCCGCTGCCAGGGGAGAGAGCGGGGGTTGGGAGAAGGCCATCCTCCCGTGGCCCACCTCCTCCCCAGCCTGGTTCACCAGAGAAGGTCATCGTAAGTGGCCCGGGCCTCCGCGGAGAGGAGGGACTGAGGGAAACGGACAGACACCAGGTTAGGGGAAAGCAGGGGGAGAAGGGCTGTGTGAGGGGAGCGCCGTGGAGCCTCGATGTCCCTTCTTCAGCAGG